GGAGTATAGCCTGCACAAATTGGACATCATCGAATTAATCATAAAATGAGACAAGTAATGGAAAGAAATAAATAAAGATCTGTGAATGAGTTTACCTAAGTTCTTTAACATCCGCTTCAAACCCTCATTCCGAAACTTTTGATTGAAGTTGCTTGCAATATGACGAATACAGAAGACGTGATATGCATTTGGTGGCTGCCAATTAGGGTTATTATCCACAACAGATATTATGCTATGATGACGATCGGAGATCAGGCATATGTCTGACATGTCAGTAACATGAGCATGAATATTAACAAGAAAATAGTCTCATGCTTCCAAGGTTTCGCCTTCAACGATGGCAAAAGTGATCGGTAAACATTCATCATTTCTATCTTGGGCTGTGGCCACCAACAATTTGCCTTTGTACTTCCTATATAAATGTGTTCCATCAATATGGATTATTGGTTTGGCAAATTTGAACGCCTCACAACACTGTCTAAACATCCAAAACATGCGAAGAAACACATTTTTTTTCCAGTAACTAACCCATGCTCTGCATACAAATCATTTGTTTGGATATGATAAAATGAACCTGGAGAAAAGCGAAGCATGTATTCGCACCACCTTGGCAAAAAAGCATACGATTCCTCCCAATCACCGTACATAATTTCCATCGCTTTCTGCTTCGCATATCATGCCTTTCTGTAGGAAACTTTAAAGCCATATTTAGAGGTTATCCTTTCTTGAACCAAAGAAATTGAGACAGATGGTTCTTCCCTTATCATCCCTGCGTTGAAAAGGTCATATACTCGATAACATAGAACGAATTAAATTACACAGCAGTATGTAAACGTTGACATGTCATTGAAAATAAATACGTACCTAGAACGAGATCCGCAATAACGTCCGCATCGAGCTGTCTATGTCCCTGGGAAATGTGCTCATTCAAACAATTGTGATCTCCACCCCATCTCGTAATCTTCCAATTTTCACCAAACATTGGTTTGATCGCCCTAACGCGCCACGAACAACCTTTATCATACGCACAACATTTCATGGATAACTTTGCAGACGTGCTCTCAATTACAATTGCTTCTTAATGCTCCCTAATCAGGTTGTGCTTAAGTGTCATTTGGACATCTTTTTTGTTGCAAATTCTTGGTTCACAAATAACTTGTCACCCAATTGCCACAAACCTTGTATTGAACCCGATCCTGAAATCGTACCATCAGTGCATGATTCTTGTTCGCTCTGATAACTCCAATCAATGTACGAATAATGCGGAATTCCTTGCCAAAAAGGAATAACAGCTTCATCACCTGCATCTGATAATTACAACTTTTTAATACAAACTTCCTAAATCAGGTATTAAACAGGGTATCAATTCAGGTATATACAAATTATATCAATTACCTTGATGATGATTATCTAATGTGGCAGACACAACGTCATGCAATTGTGGCATTTGCGCGACCACTGGTTTATGGTAGACTGGGATTTGAGACGCACCCATCTCACCACCTTCATCTCCATCTGAAGCACTAGCATCCTGCGCCAGAAGACGTTCTTCCATTGCGATGTTTTTATCATCGTCGTCGTCGTCGTGCATTTCCCAAGTCGGATCATTTTCATCTCCCTCAGAAATGTTACCAACTGGAGACGCATGAGCGACGAACGTTGATGGAAGGCGGGGAAAATTTAAATCAATTGACCTCACCGGTAATGAAACATTCTCCGCTGCGGCGATGTCGACATATAACTCCAGAAAATCTATCCTTGTCTGGTTGAAAAATTCTTCCATTGTCATCTCCACGTCTTCATCGTCAAGTACTTGCAAACTAATGTATTTATCACATTGCTATAACCTTGTCGTGATCTGAGTGATACATTGGTTGCCTTGAAGACTTAACTTCTGCCGAATTCTCTGATGCAGTTCGCCAATGGTTGCGTTGCGTTGGATACATGTCGGCCTTTTTTCACCTTCAAACATGACACCTCGTCGACCTTCTACCTTCCTACCATTGTAATATAACACAACGCGAATAGAATTAGGATTTGAACTCATTCTTAAATAGAATAAGAAATAAAATTCAAATACTATATTAAAGATGAAGGATTATGTATTTATGATGTTAGGAATTTTGGTAGAGAAGAGATATAAGGTGAGAGAAGAGGTGTGAAGAGTTGTAAGAGTGGAAGGGGAATATATAGGGTGCACAATGTGACGCCTCATTGGGGCGTCACATTGTGCAGCAGATCCGTAATTATTCTTAAAACTGCCATAAATGCGTAATTATTTTATTAAAAAGCATTAAATTAATTTTTTTGCCCCCTAAAAGTAATATACTTTACCCTTCAAGGGACATATCTGGTTCTAGTATCATCTACAGTTCAACTCCAATGAAATTTGCTATCAAAACACACTGAACATTAAAGCGTTAGATATGCATTAGGTAATCAGAGTTTCCCACCAATAAGGTGTTGATCGAGTGGTAGCAGCTCAAGGTCTCCTCCATAAGGTGGAAAACGTAAGTTCGAGATCCGTAAAGCGCATTTTTTTTAGAGGGATTCATTAACTGCTCTCAATCTCGATCCAAATTAGTTCTAAAAGATGAACCGATTAGTAAAAATACTAAAAAAAAAATAAGAGAAAGTTTCCAAAAGTTCAATTCTCACGGCCAATATCATAAAGTACAAAAGCCACAAGCTACCATCTCATTTCAAGAGTTCAAATTTTTTGTATACCAACTATAATTATCTCTTTAGGCAAGCTGACCCTGTATATTTCCACAAGTTTCAAATCTTTAAGTCAGCTACAAGATTAATCCCAAGTTAAAATTTAGTTATGGTTGAAATTATTCGCACCCTCCCTAAATATGTACTAGCAATTTTAAGCTGGATTTGGCAAATACTCAGAGTTTAAACTTAAGTGGGATAAATAAATGTACGAGCAATTTCATGACCAGTGACTCAGTGACTACTTCATTTGATTGGATAAATTCATCTCATTTTTAATATGTAATTCATGTGTAAAGGAAATATTTAATCTCGTCTTTAAGAAATCTTAATATACTTGAGTTTCAACTAATGAGGTAACTCATTTTATTGAACACTTTTTTTCTTTCGTTAAATTATTTTGATTTGAATTCAGTTCGGGAAGCAGAAATAAACAATATTAAATGCTTAGTCGGCTAAGAATGATTAGGAGAGAAAGTTGAGAGCAAATAGTTAAAAATGCTTGCAGTCATGTTCGCAGAAGAAGATTCTCAATTGAAATGCAGTAAAGGCCCATACTCAACTTCTATTTGGGTCATTATGGTCCATATCATGCTTGGGTCATTCCACCATTGAATGGAGATAAAAAAAAGGTGACCACAAAAAAGAAGAGAAAATTATGATATTTGGGATTAATGTTTCTCGTGGGGATTAATGTTTTTCGTGTCGTAGGAGATAAATGATGGTAGTTCAGTTAGCGCATGGAAGCTAAGCAGGTGGGGTGAGAACATGTGTTCGAATCTTTTCATTGCCACCTTTAGGAGGGGTTTAAAGTCTTGATTCTGGACCCGCCCCAAAGAATCGATTGGAATATTTAAAAAAAAAGTATTAGGATCCATGTGAGAAAAAAAAAGAGAAAGAAAAAATATGGACCCCATATATTTTTATTTACATGTAGTTCATAATTTTATCTCTTATAATATGAAAATAATAATTTCTTTATTAAAAATAAAAAAGGATGAGAAATATAAAATAAGAATATTTTATAAATCCCCTTTTTTATAAAGGGAAAAGAAAATGTGTATCATTTTAAGAGAAAAAGAGATAGATCAAGAGAGACATAAAAAAAACTCCACTCTCTCTGTTATAATTTTTTTCTTTCTCTCTCTTAAAATTATACAATTTTATATTTTTTAAAAGATAAAAAATGTTATATTTATAGTTTTTTGTAAAAAATATTATATTTCTAAATTTTTATTTATAAATATAATTATGTATTCTCGAATTCGATTAAGAAATAAGCATTCTCGGAAATAGATAAGAGTTTATATTATGGGAAATATTTTTTATGTTGTAGAAAAAAAGTTATTTCATATTGTAGAAATAAAATTATAAGTGAGACTCTTACACAGTGTTTAAAAACCCGGCCCGGCCATCGACCCGGCCGAGGTCAGGGGTCACGGGTTCAACCGGGGGGTCACGGGGTCACTACGCTGACCCGGTGTTATATATTAAAAAATATAAATATATATATCCTATATAAAAATATTAAAAATAAACCACCAATCATCAAATATTCAAAATATACTTAACATAATTCACCAATTACAACCACAAGTCAATATTACACAACCTAATTAAAGTATCAAGATACCAAAGTACAAAACTCATATTCTAATGGGGTCACTACGCTGATCTGGTTCTGCCTTTTTTGAGAAGATCCCTAACAAAGAAAATTTTTAAAGGAAGTAAGAAAGAGTTTTTGTTTTCCATCGACGACTGTAAGGATTTCATTTGAATGGGAAAAATTCTTACCTTTTCTAGAAGATTCACAGCAGCAAGGAGAAGATTGTAGACGTCTAGGTCGCTGGGAGAGAAGAGAACGATTAGATTTAGGTTTACAAGTTTTTTTATTTTTTATTTTTTATTTTTTAATAAAACGATGTTGTTTAATGGAATTTTTTTTTTTAAAAAAAAAACTTGCAGTGACCCCCTTTGACCTCTCTGACCCGGGAGTCACTGAAACTCGGCCGGGTTTTTGGAGGTTGGAGGGGTTGATATCCATATAAGATTCAACTTGTGACCCCAACCCTCAGAGGGAAGGGGTCAAGGTTAACCCGAGGGGGTGGAGTTTTAAAACACTGCTCTTACAGGTAAGAAGAAAGAAAAAAAAAGAGAGTAATGAGACCTAATACTTTTTGTGTACGTAGAAAAGTTGTTTATCTGATCCACGTAAACACACACTTTACCCTCCATTTATAAATAGTGTTGGAGGGGTAGTCTTTTGAGTCCTCCGGATTTTTTCAGGGCTCTGCTTTGAGGGGGTCATTGTTTTGGGACCCTTTGAACCCTAATCTCCACCAAAAACCCATTTTCCCGGAAAATTCACTCAGAAAGGAAAAAAAGAGAGAGAGGAAAATGCAGAATCACAGGTTGAAGCAGCAGCAGCAGCAGCAGCAAGCTCTGATGCAACAAGCTCTTCTCCAACAACAATCTCTCTACCACCCGGGTCTCTTAGCTCCTCCTCAGGTTGGGCCTCACTCATTTCTCTCTCTTTCTCCATTTCCGTTCTTCTTGTATTTTCTCTTCCTTTCTTGGTGTCGATCTTCGAGTCTTGCCTTTTGCTTACGCGGGATTGAGTGGAGCTCCTAGGGTTTGTTGCGGATTTTTGTTTTCTTTTCGTGAGCTGGGTGTGTGGTTGGTTTTTTTCATTTCTGGTGGGAAATTAGGGTTTCGGAAGATCGTTTTTCCATTTTGAAGTGGCATAATCAAAACTAGGAAAATATATTAGGAATGTTGCTTCATTTCCTCCTTTTGTGTCACCATTTCTTCTTTGATGTGTAAGTGGTGAAAGAGATTTTAGGTGAATAAGTTTGCAATTTCATCAACAGTACCGTTTTCTTGGAGTTTTGATTGGGAAAGGAATTTGGATGGTTTAACTAGAAGAATTCATTGGTCGACTTCATTTAGGAGTTATTGTCAGGTGTGTTTGATGTAGTGATAAATACGTTTAAGTCTTAGAGGATTTTCTGTTTTTCTTACTGATTTAGTTTAGTTTGTATTTTGCTATGTATTCTGAAAGTGTTAGATGTACTGACTTCATTCACATGTACTTCTGCTAGGCTTAACAATGAACTCTTGTATGCATTTTTTGTTTGGTATCGGTTGGGTTATATGCTTTTTTCCTCCCCATTCACCTCCGTATTGTTTTTTCATACCACTGTATTGGTAGATACAATACAAATTTTCTATCATCATTTGCCCCCTTTTCCTTTCTTTTCTTTTTCACATCTTCATTTTGCAGATTGAACCAATTCCAAGTGGAAATCTGCCTCCTGGTTTTGATCCAAGTACTTGCCGCAGTGTGTGAGTGTTTGTCTAGACATTTTTTTTACCTTTTACTTTTCTATTATATCCCATTTTTCTGCTTGTTTTATGATTGTGATGCAAACAAGCTTAGGTGCTGTTACTTCAATTTTATCTTTTATTTACTCCCTTTCGAATAAAGACTGGTATTATAAGGCATTTGAGTTACTAATCTTTGTATTTTAATTAAGTATATTTTTTTACATGTTTTAAAACCAATTCTAATTTACTAAAACATTACCTACATGTTACTTCTTGGTTGTGACTAAAATTAATTACTTGTACCCTAATTTTTTTTTGTTTCTTCTCTTCTTTTTTTAAAATTGTAGCTTCTTTATCTTTGAGAAAATGCAGGTATGTGGGGAACATCCACACACAGGTAACTGAGCCGCTTTTGCAAGAAGTTTTTGCAGGTACTGGCCCGGTTGAAGGTTGTAAACTTATTAGAAAGGAGAAGGTATATTTTTAATGTAGTTATGTCTCTGTCTAACTTTGTCTAATTTATTGATTTAAAGTACTAGCTAAAAGTGGAGCTTTATATTTGACATCTTGTGCCTCTTTATGCAGTCATCCTATGGATTCATTCATTACTTTGATCGAAGATCTGCTGCTCTTGCCATATTATCTCTTAATGGAAGGCATCTGTAAGTGCCTTCTCTTTACATTTGTGTTTGATTGGTTTGGATTTGCGCTCTAATTTTAATTTAATGCTTTGCAGATTTGGGCAGCCGATCAAAGTTAACTGGGCATATGCTAGTGGTCAGAGAGAGGATACATCAGGTTGGTTCTGAGTTAAATTTACAGATATTTTTGTTTGAACTCACTCTTGGACCCTTTGGGAACGTTTGGCTAAGATCCTATATAACACATGTTTCTTTCAATTTGCAGGTCATTTCAACATATTTGTCGGTGATCTCAGTCCTGAGGTTACTGATGCTACACTGTTTGCATGCTTTTCTGTCTACCCCAGTTGTTCGTAAGCTTCATTCTCTTATGATTTCTTATTTAACATCCATCTATTTTCTGTATTTGAAGTTGGACCAATCTCTATTTATTCAAAGGAAAAAAAAGCGAATGTTTGTAATAACTCATGAGTTAATTGTACATTGCATGCAATAAAATCTTGTTGGTGACATAGTATTGCTCACCAATTTTATCTTTCTCGTGGTTATAGAGATGCAAGGGTTATGTGGGATCAGAAGACTGGGCGTTCAAGGGGATTTGGATTTGTTTCATTCCGTAATCAACAGGTGCATTTTTTGTATTAAAATCTTTTTTTTTTTGGTGTAAGAAGGCTCTTTATGATTTTTTTGACTTGTATTTATCTTGAATTTTTTGTAGGATGCTCAAAGTGCTATAAATGATTTGACTGGTAAGAAGTTTGTCATTGGCTTAGCAACCATTTAGATTTGAGCCACTTTAAGTTTGGATAAAACTTCAATAATTTTTCATAATTTAATATCACTTGGAACAATTTTAATGTCTCAACTCAAAGGAATTGTGCAGTTAGGTTCTTTTGTATGAATTGATTTTGTCTTTCTACGTTTTTGTTATTTTAAAACTCAAGATGGAAAATCGTCCTATAGATTTTTCAGAACTATCACTTTTGGTGTATGCACTATTTAATTGATTCTAGAAGGCTCATGTTCTTTACTGTCTACCTGTATTTCCTGTATGATCAAGGCATAATGATGCCCTGCCTATGTATTTCAGGTAAGTGGCTTGGAAGCAGACAAATACGATGCAACTGGGCAACAAAAGGTGCTGCTGGCAATGAGGAGAAGCAAAACTCAGACACCAAAAGTGTGGTGGAACTAACAAACGGCTCATCTGGTGAGTAAATTATACTGTAGTTCCCGAAACAATGATGAAGATGGTTGAGTTTAAATGTTTTCATTTTAGCTTCTATAATCCTTGATTTAAGGGTGGGTCTGGGTGCTTTCTTATATTTTGTTGCAATCTTTTTACCCTTGACACAGGAAAGATTTTTTAGATGATTGGACTTGTAAAACTTATTGTGTTCATGAAGTATTCTGTCTTCCTAGTTAACTGATGGAATACTAGGAATGCAATTAACTATCATGTTTTATCCTGCTTGTGCAGAAGACGGAAAAGAGACATCTAACAGTGATGCTCCTGAAAACAATCCCCAATATACTACTGTTTATGTTGGTAACCTTGCTTCGGAGGTAAGAAATTTCTTTATTGACGTTTTTCAATTTTTGGATTAGGAACTAAAGTTGTTCATCAACCACCATTCTGTTATATAGTATTTGAGCTTATTATGATGTTGCAGAAAGAATATTTTAAGTTCTCAAACAATATTTGTACTGCTGAAACTTTACTTCTTTTGGCTTATTTTGTTCTTTCTATCTCTCTTTTTTGGACATCAGCTTAGACATGTAAGAACATTTTAGCTTCCAAAATTTTTCTGTTGATTTAAAAAAATACAGTATGTTACTTGTGTGCTGTATGTTTGAATTCTGCAGATATTGTTGTTTTCATTTTAATCACCATGATTTTTGGTGATTCTGCAGGTAACACAGATTGATCTCCATCGCCATTTCTATACTCTTGGGGCTGGTGTGATGGAGGAGGTTCGTGTCCAGCGTGATAAAGGGTTTGGTTTTGTTAGGTACAGTACTCATGCTGAAGCTGCTCTGGCTATTCAGATGGGGAATGCCCAGTCTATTCTCTGTGGCAAACAAATTAAGGTGTGGTTTTCACCTTTTGTTGGTGCTGCTAGTTGCTATGTAATTTTATCTATGTTGTGAATCATGGTGCAGTAATTAAAGTTAGGTTGGTACGCCCATGTTAAACTTGATTCTATTCTGACCACAAGTAATTTTTTTTTGTAAATAAGGGACTTGGATTTGGAATCTATGTATTGTGTCATTGGGTATTTGGAAGTTAGAAGCAAATTTTATTTTCTTGGTTTATTCTCTAACCAGTTCAAATTCAATAGTAGAAGAGTTGCGTATATGTTAAAAAATTCAATAGGAGCACTATAGTCTCCTTATGTCTAGTCCTATTCATTTCTTTTAGTTATAAAATTTTATCTTGCTTTTATATGGCTATTTGTTGCACTTTAGTTCTAACCGTAATTATTATGTTAAATATAGTGCTCCTGGGGGAGCAAGCCCACTCCACCTGGAACTGCATCAAATCCTCTTCCCCCACCTGCTGCTGCTTCTCTGCCAGGCCTCTCTGCGAATGATCTTTTGGCCTATGAGCGACAGCTAGCAATGAGCAAGATGGGTGGTGTCCATGCCTTGATGCATCCCCAAGGCCAACATCCTCTTAAACAGGCAGCAATTGGAGCAAGCCAGGCAATATATGATGGTGGCTTCCAGAATGTTGCAGCTGCACAGCAAATGATGTACTACCGGTAAAATATAATATAATGCGGTTCTCCTATCTATATATCCTGCCTTGTGCTCATTGATTTGAGTTATACTCTAGAGAGCTCTTTCCTTTTCTTTTTCTTTTTTTCTTTTTTTTCTTTCTTTCTACTTAATGGTGGTGAGGTAGTTTACCCTTACCATATTAGATAATATGATCAAACATTTGTATGGGTTTGTATCATGTATGGGGTTTTCTAGTTAGTAGCGACGAGTGTATAAGGGGGCTGTCCAGACATATTTCTTCCTTCTCGCCCATTTGGGTGTTTGTGTTGTTACTATACAATGGTTATCATCAGTATCAATCCTGTCTTCAAGACTCAAGAGGGCTGTTACATATTTATTAATATTTTAATGCACAAATCAGTAGGAAGCTGGTGATGTATGCGTAATGGTGCTTGTGAGATAGCGTGACCCTTCCCATGTGAAATTTCCCTTGACTTCTGACGTTGAATTACCCGGAAAAGTTTAGTTATAGAAATGAATAGTCGCAAAAGAATCTCCTGACTAACGCCACATATTCACTCAGGCTAAAATACCATTCCCAGATCTTTCTTTTTCCGAATTCATAAACGCGGATAACAAACTACATTGATTTTCAAGATTTTCAGAGAATATAGGTGAAAATCAATTTGACGTATAATTTTAATATTGCTGCCTCGCGGGTTTTACATTGCCCTACTAACTTTCCAATTAATTAAAAGAGTATAGAAAAACAGGGAAAGTGAGAGGGAGAGAGAGAATTGCCTGAGGAAGACAGTACATTTACATGAAAGTTGTAGAATCATCAAATTATGAGTATGTTAATTCAGAAAAATAAAAATAAAAACTCACTACCCTAATAAGAGATTTACTAGGAAAAATCAAAGACCAAGTCCATCATTAAAATAACATTAACGACATTCGACCAAGATTTACGCTATACCAGGATATACGAAAGAAACAGAATCAGTCACAAAATAAAAAAAAATAAAAAATTGTTCATTTCATTTCTTTGCAAACAAGAGTTGAAGCATGATAAAGAAAAAAGAAAGATGTTGATTGATCTCTATTGTATGCTTCATTTTAAGAAATTTTAGTTAACAAAGAGAGGGATTCAATGAGCTAACCAATTTCACATATATCATTTGGAGACAGTGATGAGAATAAAATCACACAAAAACTAACGGGAAATTCGTCACATCTTTCGAGGGTCAATTATTTACTCTTAAAATTAGTAATGCCCCTTTGTGCAAATAAAATATTGAAGATAGAATTATTTTTAAATTTAAACTCTAGCTTAAAAAGGTGTAATATCAACTTTACAATCACAATAACAGCTTAATATAAATAAATTCTGAACTCGGAGAAAATGAATAAGAAAACAAAAACAAAAAATCCGCATGTAACAGATGGTGACAAGTCATAAGGAAACTCTTTAAGTAGTTCTACTACACTTGTTACTTTTATTAAGAAAATGTTAAACATGTGAAGACTAATCCTTTTCCAGCCTTGCAATATAATTGTCATAGAATTGCCCTGCTTTCTCAAGGTCTCCAAGTTCAGTGTAACAGTCAGCAATTGCCCCAAAAGCTTCAGTGTTACCAGAATCCTCTCCTTCTCTTTCAGAGATGGCCAAAACCATGGAATGGTATTTAATAGCATCTCGGTACTTTCCCTGTCTTTGCAGTGAGGCTCCTATATTAATATATATCATATAAATTGTATTAATGGAACTCCTTGTAAAATTCTTCACACACAAAAAAAAGAAGCCAATGTTACTATGTGGGAGCATCTCAGAAAACACACATGAATAATCTATATAGTCAAGATAACAAACCTAAACCTCTAGCAGCTTTTTTCTCCTCAATAGGATCCTTCAGATTCTGGGCAAGCTCAAGTGCAACCTTAAACTCTGTGAATGCTTTATCTGGCTGTTGATTCCTTAGAAAGTTTTTTCCATTTTTCAACTTAGAAATCAGCTCCTGCTTCTTTGGGTCAACAATAACTTCATCAAGTATCCTACCACCAATGGGAGCATAACTCAAGCTAGGGGCATAGGACTCGATTTTGGCTTGCTTCCTTAAAGCTGCGTTGATCTGGAGTAATTGCTCATTCACTCGCTGTAATTCTCCTCTCCTTTGCCGAGCAAGCAACCCTGTCATACGATCAATGAATTCAAAAAAAGGACAGTATATCTCTTACCTATAAAAGTACATACGAAATGCATCTACATCTACCACACTTTAGTAGAATCACAAGTTATTGTTACTTGTGATATACAGAAATCAGATATTCAAGGACAAAAACCTTTATTTTATTTTATTTTCCACTTTTTTTATTTTCTCTAAAATTTCTAACGACTTGTATTTCTGTCACTTTTTTTCTTCTTCTTCTTTAAGGAAGATAACAAGTAAAAGACGTTTGGCTTTCAAGAGGAATTCATGCTTCACATATCTAAATCTCGTAACTTTTAAACTACCCTCATGTATTTTAAGATTTCAAGTTGCAGACAAAATATATCTAAGTAATATGCTAGTCCTTTATAATATTATAGCACAGGAACTAATTCAACAAACAAACATCAATTCCATAAATATATATTGCAACGAAATTAAGTTCTACTTTCAAAGTCCTTGGGTTTAGAAACATTCATGAACTAATGAGGGATCTCATACTGTATAAGAAATCTCATACCACCTTACCTCCTACAGTGGCTCCAATGAGGGCCACTGCTAGCAGCAAAGGCATATTGAAAAGAGAGTTATCAGCCTCACATGTTTCAGCCAAAGCTCTACAAGGCGTAGAGAACATCAAAATATTGCTTGCAAGAAATATTAGTGAAGGGAACCTTTGGGGTGTGTCTTCCTGGCAAGATAAACAATTTCAATCAGAAGAAAGAAGTAAAAGAGAAAGATGCTAAACCAATGATTTGCAAGGAGAATAGCAACTGAAAATCAACAGAATGCAGTAACAAAATAGAGACAGTAAAGCAATGTCCCAATGTAAAGAAGTGAATAAAAGAGGAATTTAGAATACTAAACAGTATCCACAGTTGACAAATTCCAAAGCAGGATTTTAGACAATGTATTATTAAACTTCCATATTTCACAACATATATTCTTTTAGAACTTTAGTAACACATTTGTAGTGAAAACATACAAGCACATAAATCATGATACAAAATCAAAGGGCATATAGCGGCAGGAATGCCGTAACTCACCATCATACCTTACACTTTGAGCAGTGCAGCATATTTGGAACTTTGAAAGACCCATCAAACGTATCTTTAAAGAGAGGCACAAACTTGTCCACTTTTAAAGAAAGACAAGCTAATTTTCCTGAACAATTCAAGAAGTTGAATTCCATGTGAGTATCCATGTTTTATAATTTGCACCATACATTTTCATTAGTAGCTTTCACTTTCCATAAGGTTGTTTGAAATATAGATACAGTTCTTGGCTGGTGATCTAAATTCTAAAATCATTTTTTTTTTTAAGAAAACTTTTCCTTTCCCTCATCATCATTTAAAAGCAGGAAATTCAAATTAATCAAAGATTTCCTAGCAGCAAAAATACAAGTAAACCCAAAAAAAAAAAAAAAAGGTTTCCAAAAATCTGAAACATGATGATGAAAAAGTTAAGATTTTTGAATTCCATTTGAAGGCCCAAGAGAGAAATAGAACTGACCGTGGAGGTGGGGTTTGTTGGCATAGAATTGAGGATGTGGGAAGTGAGGACGTGAGAGGAAGCATGAGCAACGGAACATCACCGCCATTGCTCTCTCTCTCTCTCTCTCTCTATCTCTCTATCTCTCTCTCTGTGCAGAGGTTGTTGTAGCTTGTTTTGCTGAGCTAAGAGGATAAAGCTTAGGATTACACAGATATCCCTCTGTCCTCACTTGTGTGCTGCTGTTGGATTTCGACTTACTATGTCTCTCTCTGGATTTCTTTTACTTTTTAATTCTTTTTGGTTTTGTCACTCAATCAAATTTGACATAAACATAAACAGTTCATTTTTCTTTGTTTTTGTTTTTGTTTTTTTAAGGTAAAATGGAAAATTTAGTATTCAAATGGATAATTTGTTTTTAAATGTGAAAAATCTTTTTTCATTTGAATCCAGCTTTTAATTTATATTTTTATTTAACTCCTATTTTTTTTCTTTTTTATTATAATATAGGTACATCCGAAGTATTTAAAATTGGAACAGGATATACTTACCACCAACAAAGTTTATCACATTTACAACCAACTTAATTTCCGTTGATTTTCGTTAATCTAACGGTTATAATTTATTAAATTTATTAAAATTAATAAATAACTAATAAATGCGATCCAATAAATTATAACCGTTCGATTGACGGAAATCAACGGAGATTAGATTGGTTGTAAATGTGATAATTTTTTTTTGTGGTAAGTATATTCTTCTCCCTTAAAATTTGTTGCTTTTTTTGGGGTCAAATTCAATAAATTTGATTTTAATATTAAATTCTATAATAATCAAATTAAATAATAATATAAAAAATTTATATTATAGTACATCTATTATTTTGTAGTTAAAATGAATAAATTATCATTTTATAATAACTCACCTTTAGAATCAAGATGCATACATTTTAAAAAACTGCATTGTTTTTTCAATATTATTTATTTATAGTGATAATAAAAGAAAAATATTTCATTAATAAAAGTATACCAATGCGCACAAATTAAACAAAAAAAAGATATCGAATTTAGTGAGAAAAAAATAAACGTAATTTACATCCTCAACTGAAATGTAAAAGGAATTCATGCTTATAATTTTCATAAATTTAAACTTTTGTTATGATTTTAATTGACTATAGAGTCAAAAAGATGAAATCACAGTTCCATCAAAATTAAAATTAAAATCTCCGTCCTTTCATGTTACCTATTGGAATTGGCATGATAAGGTTTTTGGATACTTGTGTTGATATAATGAAATTTTTTGAGCAAAGAACAGCTATAAGAGCTAACACTATAACTAGGGTTGTGCATGGGTCAGGTCGGGTCAGGTTTTTGTTCGACTTGACCCAACATGATTTTTATAAGTCAGGTATTTTGATCCGACCAGCTTTAATTTGATCCAAGTCAAGTTTGATTTGGTTTGGATTTTGTTAAACTAGTTCAGAACCGGGTCGGATCTGACCTGACTAGGTTTCTGAACTGGGTCAAATCTGACCTGACCCGTTTTTGACTTAGTTTCCTCACAAAATTTCGTCGAAATTTCTATATTGCAAAAGACGAAAATTTCGTCACAAAATTATTTTTTGTCGAAAAGCGACGAAATTTTTTCTCTAATGAAAATTTTTACAAAAATAAATTTTTTGAAATTTAGTTTTCGTCAAAAGTTTAGACGAAAATGATTTCTTCCATCAAATATTTTAAACGAAAAAAGAATTCTGTCAAAAATTTTAACGGAATGTTTTTCGTTCAAAATTTCGATGGGAATGTGTTCTGACGAAAGTTTCAACGGAAATTGTTTCGAGGGAAATGTTTCATTCGCAACTTTCGAAAAAATTTAGATTTTCTAAAGAATTTTGACAGAATATTTTTTTCGTCAAATAAAGTTATCGAAATATTTTTTTGTCAAAAATTTTTACGAATTTTTTTTACAGAAATGTATTCCGTTGAAAAGTTTGATGGAAATATTTTTTATCAAAAAACTTGACGAAAATATTTAGTTGAAAATTTTCGAGAAAATGTGTTTCGCTAAAAATTTCGACGAACCTTTTTTTTTGTCAAAAAGTTTAACAAAAAAATTCCGTCAAAAACTTTCGCCGAAATTTGAAATCTGTAAAGAATTTTGATGATATTCTTTTTCGTCAATTTTTTTTTATGGAAATGTGTTTCGTCAAAATTTTCGATGAAAATTATTTTGAGGGAAATGTTTCATTCGAAACTTTCGACGAAATTTAGATTCTCTTAAGAATTTTGACAGAATATTTTTTCCGTCAAATTTTTTTATAGAAATATTTTTGTCAAAAATTTTACGAATTTTTTTTACAGAAATGTGTTCCGTTGAAAATTTTGATGGAAATATTTTTTATCAAAATGCTTGACGAAAATATTTAGTCGAAAATTTTCGATAGAAATGTGTTTCGCTATAAATTTCGACAAAATTGTTTTTTATCAAAAAGTTTAACGAAAATGTTTCCGTCGAAAACTTTCGCTGAAATTTGAAATCTGTAAAGAATTTTGATGAATTTTTTTTTCGTCAAAATTTTTTGATGGAAATGTGTTTCGTCAAAATTTTTGATGAATATAATTTTTTGTGAAATATTTTGACGATATTCAGATTCCGTAAAAAAATTGGACAAAAAAAAATATTCCGTCAATTTTTTTACAGAAATTTTTTTAGTCACAAATTTTGATGAAAATATTTTTCTTCAAAAATTTAATGTAAAAAATTTTGACGGAATTGTTTTACGTTAAAACTTTTCTTTTAATGTAATTGTGATTTTTTTTCACATAATGGGTAGGGGTTAAGTTTTGGGTCCAAGGGTCAATATTAAAACAAGTCAGGTCTAAAATCGACCCAAATAAAAGTGGGTCAATATTTAAACCAGTTCAAAAAATATAGGTATTTATAGGTCAGGTCTAAGTCGAATCAAAGCGCAGGACAAGTGAACTAAGTTTTTTTGCACACTCCTAACTGTAACTTAATTCAATGAAGCGCCTAAAGTAAAGACTGCAATTGGGAACTAGGATTTTCAAAAAAATTGGGTCATGGCAACTCTGTCAAGGCAGAATTTTAAGGTATTTTAGTTGACTTGGAGCTGTCTTGGAATTTTGAAAAGAGGAAAATTCATCTTGAAAATAATTCTTTGATGGCACGGGAGCTAATCCAGAAAGGCTGTCAAATGATCCACTCTTTGTCTAATTTTGTAACTAAAATACGGGAGATGCTATCTAAGAATTGGGAGATCAAGATCACTCACTCCTACAGAGAAGAAAATGCTGTTGCAGACTAGTTGGTTTCTCAAGCATACAAACATGGTTGGGAGACCGTTATTTTCAATGAAGTTCCCAGGAAATGCTCTATTAAATTCCAGAGTGACTATAGAGGCACCTGTTGGCCCAGAATAATAGTTGTTAACTAGTTTCTTTTGTTGTTGTTTTTAATTCCTTTGTTATAAAAAAATAAAAATAAAAAAAATACTGCAATCCAATCTTCAAGGGTAAAAGTTATTTGATGGATGCAGCCTTGCATCTTAGTTGCAAGCTCTGTATATATCAGATAAAGTGGGAAATTATTAGTAATGTTTGGGTGGAAATGTTTGGCTATGTATCATGCAAGTCAGTGTAGAGGATATTATCATATAAACAACAAATTGAGGCTTAGTGAAGAATTTCTCACTCGTACGTGGTTTACAATGATTAATTCTTTTTTTCGGGAGTATCCCCACTTATAAGAACCAAGCTACTTGTAAAATAAAATGGTTGGAATATAATGACACAAGTAATTATATTTTTTTTATTCAATGATTAATTCTTTTTTTCGGGAGTATTCCCACTTATTTGAATGAGATTAATTTCTATTGTGGAGTGAAGATTCTCGTAACCGACCCTAATATGGAATAAATATATTAAGGCCCACTTGTAAATCTTACACCACAAAGAAAAACATCTTCTAAAAGGTTTCTCAAATCAACAAAGATGTCCAACAAAATTGTTACAGACCTTGAGGTCACCACCCAAAAGCTAGTTCAAAGGGTGTGAGTGCCCAAAGCCTTTTAAACCCCACATTAGTTTCCTATACAACCAATGTGGGACTTATAACATTGTCACCCCGCCACCCCTTTAAGGGCTGACGTTCACGGCGGCTTTCATTCTATCAACACTGACCCGACGGTAGCCCTTTCCCCCCCTTTGGGACGACATCACTCACCTATCAGTATTCAGTGCCCAAAGGCACCTTAATCCAGTCTATAGGTAGCCCTTTCCGTGGCCTCAACTCTCAATGAAAGCACCAATTGTTACGAACCTTGAGATCACCACCCCAAAAGCTAACTTAAAGAGTGGGAGTGCCGAAAGCCTTTTAAACCCCATATTAGTTTCCTATACAACCAATGTGAGATTTGTAACATTTCCACCTCATGCAAAAGTCATCTCAAGTCACCTACAAAAGAATCAATAAGGAAATCTTACTGTATCATCTAGGGATGTACATGGATTGAATCGAATTGAATTTTTTGAAAAATCGAATCGAATTAGTTTAAATGGTTCGGTCCGATTCAAAACTGGTTTTGGAAGTGGTTCAGTTCGGTTGGAAACAGTTTGGTTCGGTTCGGAACCAATTCGAGTCGACCATATTTTGAAAAGAAAAGGAAAAATAAAAATTTAAAAAATAAAGTTATAAAAATCAATTTGGTTTGGTTCAGTTCAGTTCAGAAACGGTTCAGTTCGGTTCAAAATGGTTCGATTCTTAAACTGGTTCTAAAAATCGGTTTGGTTCATGAAATAGTTCTAAAAACCGATTCAGTTCGTGAACTGATTCTTTAAAAACCGGTTCAATTTATGAATTGATTTTTAAAAGTAGATTATTTTAAGGACGATTCGGTTCGATTTAATTTTTTTAATTATTTTGCATACACCTAATATTGTCACTTACTGGTAAAAATAAGGGGCATCCCCCAAATCTGATCATCCTTTCAATATAAATACAAGTGTACTAAATACAAGGTACATATTTTATACATGAATAACCTTACTTACGTAAAATTTGGTTTGAGCGTAATATAAAATTAACATATTTTATACACCCTTCATCTTGTTTTAAATGAAAATCCATGTGTTAAAAATGCATCAAATCACTTATAGATGAAGATAAAATGTTTCATTTAGGATTCTAACCAAAGACTTTTCAATCCAACAATGAACAATCCATTCTCCAACAATCAAATTTGTTGGGCATAATTCGCTTGCTAACCGTGTCACCCCCGTTGGGTTTCAATAGTTATTTTTCGTTTAGTTAAACATGTGATCCACAAATGAGAAGTTTAGTATGTTAAGATGTACCAAATGTCTTTGTAAAATGTCCATATTTTCTATTGTGAAGATATACAATTTAAAAATTTTGAAATTTTTTATTGTTTCAATTGCTAAGATAACATGCGCAAAAACTTTTACCACTCAGCTCAAGTTATTTTGTTTAGGAATCAAACCAGAAAACTAATAAGAGAATTAATTTGACCAATACATTACAATTTTATGACTTAATAAAAAAGTAATTTTAATTTCTCGTAGACCAATAATATATGCTCCCAAAGCGTGAAATTGACAAGAGTTGAAATTGAATCAAACACTGAAACAAACACACACAGAGCATGAAATAAGCATTAGGTTCCCGCGCTGAGAAAGCAGTGAGTGAGTGAGGGAGGGTTTAAGGTGAAGGAAGTGAAATCGGTAATGGAAGACGAAATGGAAATGGAGACTTCTCCCAATCTCAGCAACTACTTCGATCCACAAGACCTCACCACCCGAGAGCAGTTCCGCAGATACCGGTATTCAACTCTTTCCCTTATTCCATTCCAATCTCTCTCTCTCTCTCTCTCTGCATTTAGGGTTTATACCTCGATAAGTGAAAAATGGTTTAAGTGTTTATCATGTAGGGTTGGTGTAGTTTATGTTGTATGGAAAATGGTTTTTGCGCCATTTTAATTCTATTTGAGTGAGACAATTTGGTTATCTTCTCTGTTACTTCAACTTCGCATTCTTTTTTAACTGCAAATCACCACTTTCCTGCTTGGGTTTTGTTTGTTGCATTTTTTGTATAATTTTTTTTTTTTTGAGATTTCTGTTCATTGATTAATTGATTAATCCAGTCGAGCCGGCCAACATAACAAGGGTTGAAAATCTCTACTTACCATGTTTTTAATACAGTTGCTTATCAAGGATTTGAACTCGAGACCACCCCTTAAACTGAAAAAATCTCGTCTAGTTGATTAGCGTGCTTGATGATTTTTTATTTTTTTTTTAATGAATTTCTGTGATGCAAATTTTGCAGGAAGAGGCACTCGACTTCAGGTGCTTTATCCCAACAAGAAAACTCGGCTTCCAAGTTGAGTGAAACTGGGCTGTTATATGATGGCCAAAGCATCCATAGTCCTACTAATGCGGCACTTGTTCTTGAAAATATTAAACAAGAGGTTGAGAGTCTTGATGCTGATTACTTGGAAGACAAGACACAGTATTCCTCTAGAAGGAGGTTATCTATTGATACTCACGGCGCGGATGCTGGTTTTGACTCTGTACGCAGCTCGTTAAAGGCTTGTAAGCAAGAGGTTGACTCGTTGGGAGATGGCGCAGAAACAATCTTTACTTTATTTGCATCTCTGCTTGATTCTTCTCTGCAAGGTACTGCAAGTATATTTATTTATATAGCACCGTACGTAGAAAGATCTATTTCATTCATCTTCCTTTTTCCTTTTTTGTGTTAAACCTGGATACAAAATGATCTCTTTTAAGCTTGACATTCCACATGATACAAGCACAAATGGGTCTTATTTGCTGGAGCATAATGGTTGATACTTTCAGAAGAAGACAGTTTCTTTGCTCTTGAGTTTTGCCTTGCAATAGAGCTGTTTACTTTGCTTCTTTTTGGTATTTGGCCCACAGGTTTATCATGAGATTTCCTTCTTAGATCTGCTGAGGGATTGGAGGGCTTTATTGCATTGATGTACTCTTTTTTTGTTTCTTGAAGAGTGTATGTTAATGTTATCCTCCATTATCATACTTCCTTTCCCTGTTAGTAATAAAACTTTCTTCTAACAAATGAAAAAGAAAAAACTCCTTTCCATATTTCATGAGCATTTTAGTTGCCCTCCCATTCCAGAAGAATGGATCTTGAGGTCATGGTTCTGTACCCCATGGTGCAAGTGCAATTTTTTTATCTGTCTAGCGTAATTTTTATTTTGTTGAATTTTTTTACAGGACTGATGCCTATTCCTGATCTGATACTAAGATTCGAGAATGCATGTAGAAATGTTTCAGAGTTTATCAGGTTTGTTTGCTATTTGTCAGCGTAAAGATCTTTGTATAGGAAGTTTTATAATGCAAACAATCATGATGTACATACATATAAATAATACTGTTGCTTTGTTCTTATGATTTACATAAGGCCCTTTATCTGGACATTTGTGTCCGTTTTCTAGGGAGGTGAGAGACTGGAAGTCATCCTTTCTTTCACTTTATGTTGTTCCTGCTTTAGAATTTGTTATTTACTTATTTATTTATTATGAGTAGTGGGGTTTAGTGGGGTTTTCTGGATAATTTTCTAGCCCTTTATTCAAGGGTTGTTTTAATGATGAATTTGTGGAGAAACTACAGAGCTCGTTTGGGTCTTACCTTCTTCTTTTTCTTGTTTTGGATTGGGTTGTTTTCATTGTTATTTGAATGTTTTAAGAGGATTTCGTTTCCTCCATCTCTTTGCGCTTCTTCTCTCTTGCAATGCTGTCTTTTTTGTATGAAAAATTTATGAATTCCTTTTGTTTTTACTTCCTTATACTATAGTTACGACTTACGGATGCCTTTCTTATACTATTGGTCTGAAGCTATGTCTTTCTTATGCAGTCTCTACCTATGCTGTCATGATGACCCCCAACTTGCCTTTGGAAACTATGGCTTTTTTGCTAATAGTATAGAAAATACATTTAATTAAAAAAATATAACCATAATATCTTGTAACTGAAGAGCTAAAGATAATTTTTATTCATAGAATTACAGACTTTTTTTTTAAATGGTTTTAGAAAGATTTTTATCGCATATACTAAAATATCATATTTCTTCCTTAAAGATCACATTTTAATTTATAGCATCTTGCAAAATTTTCTATGGTAATATTTAACATTCATATATTACTACTGTTCCTTGTCAAGATAAAATTGATAAGAAAATATTTTTTCTGTTTGCTAAATTGAGGTTAAAGTAGTGTAGCTGGAACCTGGAAGCTATGAGCTAACAACACATTTGATGCTTGGGTTGCATGGGGTTATAGGTGCATATGGGGCATGGCAAATTTTCCAGAAACTAGGATAGACACCATTTTTATTCTCTTCTTATTGCAACTTTTGCTTCTACTATTTTGTAGCTGTCAAGGGGCGAACCCGGTGCACAAGGTTCCTTGACTTTGCGAGGGTAGGGGTGAGGGTCGATTGTACGCAATCTTACTCTTGCATTTTTGCAAGGAGGTTTTTTCCCATATCTGAACCCGTGACTTTTCGGTCATAAAGAAGTAAAAAACATGGATGATATGCAGAGGGATGGCATGATTGTTGTTGTTAATTTGAAGTGTAAAATCATAGTTTACTGTCAGTTAAAGAAGAAATTTTGTTGTGGTTGTCAGAACACACTTCTTTGGTTTGCTTTCTTGGCTGGTTTAAGAGGATTCTTTATCCTCCTTTCATGCATCTATGATTTTCCTTAATATTATATCTGAGAAAAATGAGAGTTAACCTGAACTTTTAAACTACACTGAACAGCGGATAAACAGAAGAAGTTTAGTTATAGTGTGTGTACTTGTCCATTACAAAACTACTTTGATCGTAATATGATTCTGGCCTTTCTTCTATAGGTATGGGTTGAATATAAGGCATCGAGTTGTTGAGGACAAATTGATGAGGCAGAAGGCTCAGCTCCTGCTTGATGAGGCGGCGACATGGTCTCTCTTGTGGTTCCTTTATGGGAAAGGAAATATATCTCTAACCTCATATGCCCAGTTTTTTAAGGATTAATCATATCTCTGTCCTCAAGTTTGTTATAATTTCTGGTTTTTTAAGTCTATTTTCTTAAATCAATTTACTGACCCACCTTCTCATTGTCAAACTCATCACCACAGATGATTTGGCTTCCAATGTTGATCATCATACTTTTTAATTTAAATTATATGGAAAACTCAATTTGGTATTGAATGCAATCTTCATCTCAATCTTGAGAAATAGTTTGCATGTTGCGAGAATCTATTTACTGCTAACTAACTCACCACAAGTTTGATAAATATCCTAAGTTTTATCTGAAGGAACTCATTTTCCCCATATATAAAAATGGTCTATAAGTTGCTATAAAAATCCTTCCTGAATCATTATTGGAGAGAGATGTGATGGAGTGGCTCTGCAACTTAAGTCCATCTTCCGACATTTCTTTGTTCTCTTTCCTTTGGATATTTTAGATGCTCTATATCTTTATTATTTTTTTTAAGTTTTTTCCCTGACAGTTTTTTACTTTTTTAATTTTCAGTGACCGAAGAATTATCTACAGAGCAAATACTGGTAATGTGTGATACTACGTCATGTGACCACATAATCTGTCTGTCACCAATATCATTGGAGACTTGCTGAAGTCTATTCACTTATCACAGGTGTCAGGAACCTCACATGTAATGGCTTGTGAATTTGTTGCGGAGGACCACACAGCTCAATTATGCCTTCGGATTGTCCAGTGGTTAGAAGGTTTAGCTTCTAAAGCACTTGACTTAGAAGCAAAGGTAATTTATTGCGATATTTTTCTGCTTGGGAAGTTGATTTGTTCACAAATAGCATTTGTTTTTTACTTTTTAAATGATGTCTTGAGGAAAAATTTAACCACCTTAATTTCTGATAAAAACGTTGTTAGAGAGTTAACAATGAAGTAAAACTAGGGAGAGGTGAAAATATAAAGTCAAGAAACAATACTGGATGCGAAAAATAAAAAAAAGGATAGAATGCCATCAGGCTACCCAGTCAATTTGCATATCAGAAACCTTTGCTTCATTGAGGGCAAAGTGAGGTTTGTTTGGATTAGGTATACAATAAAAATATCCATAAAAATCACACCTGATGCACTGCATTGTTTAGCGGTGTGTTTGGAATAATTTTTAATGTATGCAGGGTATGGTACTACAGTGAGTCAACCTTTAAATATTGAAGTATCAGTTGCAAATTTAGTTTTGGTCTTTTCAGAAATTAAAAAGGGAAGGGTTTCATATTTTTCCTCGACTGAAACCCACACTATTCCGATTTCATTGTTTATATTGTTTTACCTTATCTGCATCCATACTCTTATTTTATTGAATGTTAACTGTTTTGGATTCCTCCTGCATTTATGCAGGTTCGTGGATCTCATGTTGGCAGTTATCTCCCCAGTTCTGGTGTTTGGCATCATACTCAACGTTACCTAAAGAAAGGAACTTCTGACATGAACGTTGTTCATCACCTGGACTTTGATGCTCCAACTCGTGAAAATGCACATCTTTTGCCTGATGACAAAGTACTTTACATTTCATTGCTTTGCAATTCTTTTACAGATATCACTTGGTGTGGGAGTGATCTATATTAATGGATAGACTGGTTTATTTGTCTTGTGTATTTAACTTTAGAATAACTGAGTTTTAATTTAAATAAGCATAATGAATACTGATGTCATAAAGCATATGTTTTTTGTAACCAGACTGTATTAGCTGTACAAAGTACAGACAACACAAAGCAAATTTATGCTTTGTTTGGGCTGTATCTGTTAAATATATGGGCTTGTAAATTTGATAATTATATTTTTGCTGTACTTGCAAAATTACCAGTTATTGAAACTCTTGATTTTTTTTTCTTTTGTTGGTAAAGAAGAATTCACCAAAATGAAGGCTCATCTACCTTTAAGTACATCAGATGGAAACAAATATCCTGGAGCTGCTAGCACAACACTTATATCTTACCTGTATGATAAGTGGGTCCATGTTGTGTAGTATCTGAAGCCTTTATTTGCTCAACTTAAATGTCCCTTTCTTAAGGGGTTAACAGGCCACCGTAAACACTTTGGTTCCTCACCCCATGTTATTTATTCTTGTGAATTTCACCTACAGTTTCTCCCTTGTTCTTAAAATTGATATAAAATTCTACTTTCTGATTTACTCGGAAATGTAAGGCTCCTTTAAGGTCAAGCCCCTCATTTTTGCTGGATCACTTTATAAGATTATTGCCAGTGATATGTGGCAGGTTTAAAAGCTGAATTAAAAAAGATAAAACCACATTGATCTCTTTTGATCGACATGTAAATTATGTTGTTCTACACCCCAGGAGTAATTTATTATATATTACCTAGTTTCCTGGTATGTTTATGGATTTCTGGAGTTTTGGGATAATTTTGGATGTCCTTTGAATTTGAAACTATTTTTTTGTTTTATATTGATTATGGAAGCTTTTGGGGGTGATTAGGAGGTGAGCTTATTATCGTGTGCTGCTCTGTTTGTGACACTCAGGTGCCTCTCATTAGAGTGAAATTCCAGGATTTTCGATAACATGTTTTTGCCTATATCACTTGCCTTGCATAGTAGGAAGGCCTTGCTGTTATGATTTCTTTGTTATGCTTTGAGTTATTTCCATATTTTTTTCGTATTGTACTCTTGTCTATCTCTTTCTATTAAAACCCTTTTCAGTTTTTTGGTTATATTAAAAAGCCTGTTACCTTTTGATGTTTAAGGGTGGATAATAAGTTTCGGGAGCCTGTACTTGCTTTTGGATGTAATTTTTTTATAGTTGTTAATGATGAAATAGATGAGTGAGTGTACATGCACACTCTTGTATGTAATCTAGATTAGAGTGTTTAACGGTTTTCTTTTTTGGTATAGAAACAAGATGAATCTCTTTTAGAAGATGTGTGGACTCTGTTAAGGGCTGGAAGACTAGAAGAGGCATGTGGACTTTGCCGGTCTGCTGGACAGGTCAACATAAGTACATAACTTTGATAATATAATTCTATGCTTCCTGCTATTAACATCTTAATATTTTGGCAGCCATGGAGAGCTTCCTCTCTGTGCCCATTTGGAGGTTTGAACCAGTTTCCTTCTGTTGATGCTCTGGTGAAGAATGGTAAAAATAGAACCTTGCAAGCACTTGAGTTTGAAAGTGGCATTGGTCATCAGTGGCATCTTTGGAAATGGGCTTCATATTGTGCATCAGAGGTAGTGTCGTATATTAACACTGAAGAATTCTCTTTATGCTGTTTTATTGATGTCGGTGTTAGTAACTTGTTCATTGACAAACACCCTCCTCTCCCGTTTTTCCATCGTAAATTTTTATTATTGGAAATGGAATGTGTTATGCCACGATGGTGCTCTGAAAACATGTATCTCTTTGAATAACTTAAAGTTGAGGAAATTGCTTGTCTAGAACAACCACACAAGGATTGTATTTTTAATAATAAGATACATGGGCTGGGGCCCTTATTTACATGATGCGGGACTAACTAACACGACTTAATATATATACATTGTAGCAAACTTCTTCCTCAAAACATTCATAGTGTAGAACCTTGCTTCTCTGCTAAAAGTTCCTTCTGTGTAGTCCTTGAGTTGCTTCCCTCCCATTTTTTAACTAGTTATGTTCTTTACTAGGGATTTTCATAGATTTTAGACTATTTTACTAGCAGATGAGGTTGTTTCATTGTTATGGCCTTTCCAAAACTATTTTTTATTCACAGAAAAATGAAACTCCTTATTGCATCTTTGTTTTGCAGAAAATAGCCGAGTTAGATGGGAAATATGAAGCAGCTGTGTATGCAGTCCAATGTAGCAACCTAAAACGAATGCTTCCTCTCTGCACAGACTGGGAGGTTTGTTTTTTTAATTTTAATTTTTGCAATAATTTTCATTATTCTTCCAAAAATCCTTGAGAAAATGTTTTCTGGATGCATGCTGATGTGCAAAGACACTATCATGATAACCAACAGCGAGCCATTTGCAGCAATAATTTATAAAACTGAGGTATTTTGAAAGAAGAGATGTTTAGGAAACCATACCCAATGTGGGTGCTGGTCTCTGTATATTTATTAAGTGCATTAGGCTAGTAGTACAGTGTACTAGTGTAGAGGACACAAATACCCTCCACACAATAATCGCATGCATAATACACTTAACTCTCAACACTCTCCATCAAGTTGGATCATAGATATTAATCATGCCCTAGTGTAACACTTAACATTTGCAGTCAGCATGCTGGGCAATGGCAAAGTCTTGGCTAGATGTGCAGGTAGACTTGGAAGTCACTCGTTCCCTGCCAGGGGGAGTTGATCAACTTAGAACTTTTGGAGATGCAACTGATGGAAGCGCTGGACATGCTGATGGTTCCTTTGAGCCTTCAAATGGACCTGAAAATTGGCCAATTCAAGTTTTGAATCAGCAACCACGACAACTTTCATCTCTTCTTCAGAAACTTCATTCAGGGTAGCTTTATAATTGTGATCACATTTATTGTCTTTTTTATGCTGTTATCTACTACAATTCTGTTTCGTTTCCATTGTAGGGAAATGACTCATGAAACTGTTACCCGACAGTGCAAGGAGCAACAGCGACAAATTCAGGTATTTGTATAAAAAACATTTTTTGTTGTTTTTACCATCATTTTTTGAAATTGTTTCATATTCAAACATTTTAGGGCATTTCCGTTATCATTAGAAAAAGTGAAATGAAAGGAATGAGTGGTTGGGCCTTTTGATTCCAAATATGATGTAAACCTGTAGCTGATCATGAAAAGGCAGAGAGCCTTTTGCTCAAAGGATGTAATCTTTAGCTTCTTTTCTATTTTCCATTTAATTATAGAAAAGAGACTCAATGGTGCAAGTGCAACCACTTGGGGCATTGAGAGAGAGAGAAAGAGAGAGTAAAATGCTAATTTTTTAATTCTCTTTATCTTATATTTTTTGTTTACTGATGTCCTGAGCTGTACGTTGCCTGACAGATGACTTTAATGCTTGGGGACATACCACGTGTACTAGACCTTATATGGTCATGGATAGCACCTTCGGAAGACGATCAGAATGTATTTAGGTAAGTATCGTTAATGCTCTTTCCCATACCAATAGTTTTGTGTGTTTTCTGATGAAACTTGTAAATATCTTTTTACGAACCAGACTTTAGAACTTCATTCCAATTTCTATGCGAATGGAATCTTGCACTGTCACATATAGAAACGGGCATGAGAGTAAACCTTTCTTTTTTTAATTAGCATTGCTGTAAACAATAGATATACCTTTTCTTTGTAGTTATTTTTTGCTATTATTCCTTCTTGTTAATATTATAATATTAACATCTGGGATTACTTTGATGTGGTAATGGGATAATGGATATAGGGAAAACATCATCTTCTGTTGCAGAAAAATATGTTACACTTCCTGCACACAGATCGAAACTTGTGCCATTTAATTTTGTTTTTTGTTTTTGAAAAAAAATGATGGGGCCCATATATTATGTATCTACAGGAATGATTGGTTATCATCTGTGACAGAGGAAAACTAATGCCCATGGATATATTACAGAAAAAGTTCATTTTTTTAATTTTTTTTTTTTTTTATAAATATGATTCGCTTGAGAAAAATCTCAGTTTATTATACCTAACAAATAAATGAAAAATTTCTTTATTTCCTGATGCTTTAAATTTATTTTCCAGATCCTTTTAATACTTGACATTTTTCTATGCTAAAATCACTACTTCATAGTACATGATAATTAGCCAAGCCTAAAGAAATTTTGTCCAGAGTCTAGACTGAGCAAAGCATGTAGAACATATGTATATTTATTATTGGGAAAAAATAATTTATTAAAGAGGAAAGAAGAATATTTTAGGAAGAGGATTTTATATAAAAAAATAAATATATATATCAGGAAGAGGATGACAGAACTATTTTTTAATAGAGTGAGGAGATAAGGTGTTTTAAACATACTTATTAATCTCGGATAGCGGCGTGTTGTGGCTGACCCTCCAAACTGCTATAGGGCTATAGCAAGTAGCGCTACAACACTATTGTGCAAAGTGTACCTAAGTGATACACTAAATTGTACTCCACAAATATAAAACTTAAAATATGAAAATGTGACATAAAAAACAAATTTGAAGGATCTCAAACATAAATGATTTCAAACATTAAAATTCAAATCATAAGCAAATTGAAGGAATTAAAGTCTCAAATAATGTAACACAACAAAATAAAGTGGCAAAATTAGTCAAAATTCAAACTGCCACTTAAGTGAAATGTCAAAATCAAATAACTTAAGGAACTAATCATAATTGAAATCATGAACATCCAAATCTTCATCTACACTTTCACTTGTATCTAAGTTGTAAATCTCTTCCTTCTACGACGAGAACACTATTGCAGAAACTACTATAGTGGCGCAGCAATAGCACTGCGATTCAGCCGCAATAGCGGCCGCTACACTTCGCCTGACCGTTGCAGCACGGTCTTTGGCGGTCGGCCGCTGCACCGCAACGTAACTCCACTATAGCGCGCTAAAGCTGGGCTATTCACAAGTATGGTTTTAAAGATGTGCTATTCTTGCAATTTTTTGGGGCATTTGGTTGGAATATGAGGTGAATTCTTTATTTGCTTTTTCTTTGGGCCAGGGTTTATCAGGAGTTACTTTCCTTTTAGATATACGAATGTATTGGAGGACTTGTTGTATTGATATGCTTCCTCAGACTCTCCACTTCTCTAAGTTACAAAATTTTCTTCCTTATAAAATAAATGAAGGAAAAGAAAGAACATAAATGCTTCTTCAAATTCAAGAATCAATACTGCCAAACCCTCCAAACTCTTAGATATCAATTAGAGGAATCCCCCTTAACAAATCATGGGTTATATACGACGGAAAGTCTGGAAAAACTTTTGTCCCACAGTAAAAGATGTGACAATTTTTTACTTTTTGAAATGTGGTGTCTGTGGGGCACTAAACTATCAAACATCAACCACACCTTCATCCCAAACTAGTTGGGGTCAGTGGCAAATGAACTCAAATGAAAAATATGAAAAGATTGAGGAAAATAAAGGCTAAAAAACAAAATTAAAACAAAAATATAAATAACACTAGAAATTATATAAATTAGCAATAAATAATTAACAAGAAAAATAAAATAAAATAGTGAAAAAAAGATAAATAAGAGAGACAAATTACAGAAGAGAAAAAAGTAAAAATAAAAATAAATAAAAAATTAAAGAAAGAAATAAATAAAAGTAAAGAAATAAGAGAAAAAAGATTAATAAATAAATAGGAGGAGAAAAATATAAAGGAAAAATGTAGAGGTAAAGAAAGAAATAAAGGAAGATAAATGAGAAAAAGACTAAAAAGAGACCCGTTTGGAACATAGGACTAACCCTCTACAATGCTAATAGCTTTCCTCCAATCCGTCCTAAGGGGGCGTTTGGTTGAGGAGAAATTTTTTGAATACTAGGGAAATGGTTGGAAAGTGAGCTTGGTAGAAAAATGTAAAAAAAGTTGTTTGGTTGACCGAAATATTACCAGGAAAATTTATTTAAATTTGCAAAATCTATGTTCGGGAGAAACTTCGCACCTGTTTTTTCACTTTCCCAGTTATCTTAAAATACCACATCTCAAGTGGTATTCTGTAACAGTGAATTTCATCCAAAAATCAACACAAAAGTCATTTCCCCATCTATCCTATTTGCCTAGTATTTTTTTCAAAAACCTGAACCAAACGTGGTATTTTCCAAAATCCACTTATACTTTCCCATCAATCCCAAAATAAATCTTCTACCAAACACTACCTAAAACACACCGTCCATCAATCTATATCTCACTCCATTAAGTATTGTTTTACTAAATAAGTTTCGGCTGACTTCTTCCTCTTTATGTGTCAAGTGTTTAATAACAAACTTCTGTCTTTACGGGAGCATCTAGGGGTCTTCGCATTATGTGTCCAAACTACTTTAATCTATGTTCTTTTATCTTTTCAACCACCGGTACTACTCTTATCTGTCATCGAATATCTTCATTTCTTATCGTATCCATCCTTGTATGACCACACATCCACCTTAATATCCTCATTTCCGCTACTCATTTTAGGCTAAGAGGAAAGTTCTATAGAACGACAGTAAGGCCTGCAATGTTATATGGAGTTAAATGAATCAACTTATTGTACTTGAATGAAGGAAACTGTAGCTTTGCAAAAAGTAAATGTCTTTCCTTGAAGAAGGCAGTCTAGGAGAGAAATTTGATTTGTTGACGAGGCTCGTTACTGCAATCCATGTGGATGAAGTCAATGCTTTTATGGTAATTATGAAATTTATATTTTAAAATGTATAGTGTGGATGCAATTAATTTGTTTCCTTAAAAATTGTGTTTTTTCAAAATGAGAATTAGTGGGATGGAGGAAGAGGATGTTAGAACTCATACAATCACAAAGTTGCATATTAAGAGAGATAGAAAAGACAGTAGGGTATTGGGAATTCAAGGGAGCAAAGATGATGTGAATAAGGGTTAGGACAGGAATTATGGCTGTAACCACCCTGCACACTTGGTAGGTGCATAAGAAGGTAAAGGAGGGAATGGAGGGAATCAGGTCGGAATTGAGGGAGACAGGAAAATAGAGGAAGGAAGCTTGGATAAGGTTTAGGAAGAGAGGCTAGCAGACCCTCGAAGAACTGCTCTACTTCTCTCTCTTTCCTTTTCAGTTTACATAGTGAGAGGTATACATATACTTGTATAGACCTTCCCCCAAGCTGATATCCCCATAATATCAGAGAAGAAGAGCAGAGTATCTCAGTGGTTTCTCAACAAAACAATACCTGGTTTCTAGTTTCCTTTCAAAAAGACGTTCAGTTACTAGGAATCAGTTGACCAAAATTCTTTGTGCTTTCCCACAGGCCTCATGGAGATCCTCAAATGATACGATTTGGTGCACATCTAGTCCTTGTTCTTAGATATTTGGTTGCTGAAGAAATGAAGGATGCCTTCAGGGACAAGATTCTAAGCATTGGTGATCATATTCTGCATATGTAAGTAATTTTATATGAAGTTCTTTCACTTTTTTCTCTCAAATAATATTAGTAGAGAGTGAAGAGTGAAAGAACTTGTCATAAAATTAACATAATTTTATGTATACGATTGAGTGCTGAAAAACTGTGTTAAACGAAAGTTCGCTTCATTATATTTCTTGATTAAATTGAAAATATTAGGTATGCCCTATTTCTCTTTTCAAAGGAGCATGAGGAGTTGGTGGGCATATATGCTTCTCAGCTTGCGCGTCACCGATGCATTGACCTCTTTGTGCACATGATGGAACTTAGGTTGCACAGCAGGTATCCTTAATTCTCCTGTCCTTTTTTCTTCCTGTAATCATGTCACTCGTGTCATATTGAAGATCTGGAGAGATTACATTTTTATTGATGTGATTCTAATCTTTGTAATTGTTTGTTTGTTTGATGGCAATTTTCTCAAGTGAACTACTATTGTAATAGTCCAACGTGAGTCTTGGATACTTTGCATAATATTATGTGTAAATCATTGTAATTATTATAAAATAGGGAATAATGTTTTTTATGTTGTAGGAGATAATTTTATCTCATACACATATATAAAAATGTGCGGGGCCTATGTGAAAAGAAAAGAGAGAAAAAGAAAACATGAGTCCCACATACTTTCATGTATGTGTAGGAGATAAAATTATCTCCTACAATATAAGAAATACTAATCCTTGTAAGATATTTTGTTCCCATAGTTTAGTCATTATATTGGGAAAGTAATTATTTAGTTAGGTCTATGTATTAGAATGAATCCATGTACAGAATAATTCAGAAATCATATTCAGTATTTTTCCATTCAACTTTGCTGCAAAGTAGAATTATATCCTGTCAATTTGCAAAAAAAGAAAAGAATTGTGTCCTGTCAGAGGATCATAGTGAACATGTGATGTAACATGGCAATTGACGGCTGACAAGTATGAACTGAGTACTTTGATAAGTCATTTTATCCCGGAAGAATCAATATATCTATTATTTTTTAACATTTTTAGAATTTAAATAAAGAATTCATTAAGAGGGAAAATAAATACAAAGATTGAGGGTGGGTGATCCTTCTAAAGCAGGAAAAGCAACAAACAATGAAGAGCATGCGGTCAATAAAATACAACAGTCCCTTTGCGTAATGGTTAAATGAAACCACTTAAATAAGGCCATGAGTTAAAACCTATAGAGGACTATAAAACAAGCCTGTACCATTAAAGAGGTGAACGGAAGAAGGCTACACACCATGCAAATACACCAAACACCATTGATATGTTACACTTGTAACATGTCTGTATGTAACTCCTATGATGTTTCTTTAATTCAACAGCATACATGTCAAATACAAGATATTCCTTTCTGCTATGGAATATTTACCATTTTCTTCTACGGGTGATTCCACGGGCAATTTTGAAGACATTATTGAGAGGTATGCAGGCTTTTATTTTAGAATCTATGAAAAATTTACTTTAAAAATGTTCATGTACATATGAAGCTTTTGCATTTAATAAGAAATCTATCTGAAACAGAATTTTGTTGAGATCTCGAGATATCAAGGTTGGCAAATATGATAACCTGTCAGATGTTGTAGAACAGCACAGACTGCAGAGTCTTCAAAAAGCTAAAGTCATCCAGTGGCTTTGCTTTACACCACCATCAACAATTACTAATGTCAAAGAAGTTAGTAAAAAACTTCTTCTCCGAGCATTGGTACATAGGTAAGTGATGCATCATATTATATGCCCATCATATTGTATTGCTTGATAAACTATGCTTATGAAGGGGCAAACAATTGAAAGTGATGAAACCTGGGATTGGTTTTTGACCTTTCACCCCCTAATTATTGTACAAATGTTTGTCATATCTTGTTATTGTAAAAGGTTTTCAGTATATCGATCTTGAATAAATTACATAAGGAATGAGGAGTATTTATACAAGAAAAAATAGCTAAGCATGACTCACTAAACCTAATCACAATTAATCCTAATTAATAGGAAATAAAAAACAATCAATCCTAATTAATCTTAATTATTCCTAATTAATAGGGAATAAAACGGAAAATATTTGAATTTGAATTCTGATTTTCTACACTCCCCCTCAAGTTGGGAGGTAAATGTTGATCATTCCCAACTTGCCAATCAAGTCTTCAAAGGCTAGCCGGTGTAGGCCCTTAGTGAGAATATCTGCAATCTGCTCTTTGGTAGGAATATACACCATACATACACTTCCATCATCTATTTTTTCTTTGATAAAGTGGCGATCAACCTCCACATGTTTTGTTCTGTCATGGTGAACTGGATTTTGAGCAATACTGACAGCAGCCTTATTATCACAATACACTCTGACAGGTAGTGAAAAAGAGATCTTCAATTCCTCAAGGAGTCTTCTTAACCAAATTCCTTCACAAATACCATGGGCTAGAGCCCGAAATTCTGCTTCTGCATTGCTCCGGGCAACAACTGTTTGTTTCTTACTTCTCCAGGTCACAAGATTTCCCCAGATATAGGTGCAATATCCTGAAGTGGATCTTCGGTCCAATGCAGAGCCAGCCCAATCTGCATCTGTATATATTTCAATCATCCTCTGGTGTCCCCTTTTAAAGAACAATCCTCGACCAGGGGTGTTTTTGAGGTACTTCATAATTCTATAAACTGCACTCAGGTGTTTTTCCTTAGGAGAATGCATGAATTGACTAACCATGCTAACTGCAAATGCAATATCAGGCCGAGTGTGAGATAAGTAGATCAACTTCCCCACCAATCTCTGATACTGCTCTTTGTCAACTTCTTTCCCATCTTCGATTCCCAATTTAATATTGGGTTCAATTGGAGTCTCTGCTGGCTTGCACCCAAGCATTCCTGTTTCTTGTAACAGGTCTAGAATATATTTCTTCTGAGTTAAAGAAATTCCTGCCTTACTTCGAGCAACTTCCATGCCTAGGAAATATTTGAGAGATCCAAGATCCTTCAGTTCAAACTGATTAGCTAAACATTTCTTCAAAGAGCTTATCTCCTCACAATCATTACCTGTGATAATTATGTCATCAACATAAACAATGAGAATAGCAATTTTACCACCATTAGAGTGTTTTAAAAATAAAGTGTGATCAGTCTGAGCTTGGAGGAATCCTCTTCCCTTAACAGCTTGAGTAAACTTCTCAAACCACTCTCTAGGAGATTGTTTAAGACCATAGAGAGACTTTTTCAACTTGCATACTGAATCGTCTCCTTTTTAAAAACCAGGTGGTGGATCCATATAAACTTCTTCATGTAGATCACCATTCAAGAAAGCATTCTTTACATCTAATTGTTGCAAGGGCCAACCAAGATTTGCAGCAAGTGATAAAAGAACTCGGATAGTGTTAAGCTTGGCAACAGGGGCAAATGTCTCTTGATAGTCTATCCCATGAGTTTGAGTGAATCCCTTAGCAACCAGTCTGGCCTTATACTTGTTGATGCTGTTATCTGCATTAGACTTTATTGTGAACACCCACTTGCAACCTACTGTTTTCTTTCCTCTGGGTAATGCTACAGACTCCCAAGTTCCATTTTTGTTGAGTGCATCCATTTCTTCAAAGACTGCATTCCTCCATTTTGGATCATCAAGTGCTTCTTGGATATTTTTTGGTATTTTTGTACTGTCTAACATAGTGTTGAAAGCACGAAAACCTGGGGACAACTTTTCATATGTGATATGATGAGAAATAGGATGAGCAGTACAAGATCTAGTACCTTTTCGGAGAGCAATAGGCACATCTAGGTTGGCTGTATCAGTGTTGCTGGAACTAAGACTCAAGTCAGAATCCTGGCAGTCTAGAGGCTCCTGAGGTGATTCTCGCCTACTGTAAAACTTTCCCCATTAACTCGCCCTGTCTTTTGCATAATGACTCCCCCTGTCTCCAACGGCAAAGGAAAAACAACAGAATCATTTGGTTTCGAAGACTTATCTTCAATAACCCCAATAGACTCCCCCTGAAGAGAAGTCGAAGGAAAAAAAGATTGTCTCTCATCAAATGTGACATCCATAGAAACAAAGACCTTACGAAGTGAAGATGAGTAACACTTGTAGCCCTTTTGGTTAGGAGGATATCCTATGAAGACACATTTAATGGACTTGGGATCGAGCTTGGACCTTTGATGGGGAGGACCATGTACAAAAGCCACACTGCCAAACAACTTGGGAGGAAGGGAAGAATGAGCCCGGAAAGAAGGAAAGGTGTGGGTAAGACAAGATAAAAGAGATTGAAAATTTAGGACACGAGAAAGCATCCGATTGATGAGGTATGCTGCAGTCAAGACAGCTTCCCCCCACAAATATTTAGGGACATGCATGGTAAACATAAGAGCTTGAGCAACTTCAAGGAGATGTCTATTTTTTCTTTCAGCCACCCCATTTTGTTGAGGGGTGTTAGGACAAGAACTTTGATGAAGAATACCATGCTGGCTGAGATAGTTTCCAAGAACAGAATTAAAATATTCAGTACTATTGTCAGTTCGAAGAATTTGGATAGAGGTCTGGAACTGAGTTTGAACCATAGCATGAAAGTTTTTAAAAATGGATGCAGCGTCAGACTTATCCTTTAGAAGGTATACCCAACATACCCTAGAGTGATCATCTATGAAAGTTATAAACCAACGAGCACCAGAGATATTTTTTTCACGGGCTGGACCCCATATATCACTATGAATCAAGGTAAATGGAGAAGAATCATGATGGACTCTAGGAGGATAAGAAACACGAGAATGTTTTGCAAGCTGACAAATATCACAAGAAAAAGAACTGGGATTTTTATTGATAAATAAGCTTGGGAACAATTTCTGAAGATAAATGAAATTTGGGTGTCCTAACCGACGATGCCACAACAAAACATCATTGCAATCATCAGACAAACATACCGAGTGGTTCACAAAATTTTTTTCTTCACAAGAATCTTTTTCTAAATAATAAAGTCCTTCTTCCTCTCTAGCACTGCCAATCATCAGCCTCGAGTCCTGTTCCTGGAAAACACAAGCATTGACAGAAAACTTGGCAACGCAATGTAACTCAGACGTAAGTTTGCTGATAGATATAAAGTTACAAGTAAGAGAGGGAACATGAAGGACTGAGTTCAAAGTAATGTGTTCAGAAAGTTTAATGGATCCTTTTCCAGCAATAGTAGAGAAGCTGCCATCTGCTGTTCTTATTCGTGATTGTTGATAGTAAGGGGTATAAGAACAAAATAAGGTTGCATTACCTGTCATATGATCTGAAGCCCCTGAATCAAGAATCCATCGACTACTATTATCAACATGGAACGCTATACCTTGTTGAGCAACATTGCTGGATGGAAATTTACTTCCAATCATCATGGCTGCGTGTGGTAACGCGTAGGGCGGACGCTCCGTCCTTTCTCTAGCACGTGGGGGCGCGTGGCTCAGCAGAATCCGTTGGTCCTTCTTGAAACTTGTAGATCGGCTCCTTCTGTTTCGAATGGTGCGGAACTTGGCCGGAAATGTCGCCGGAAATTTTTTTCGACGGCTGCTGACGGTGGTGGAAAGCTGGGATTTTGCTTTCTACAGTGATTGGTAGCCTTACTTTGCTCTTGAGACTTTGTAGGAAGGGAAAATAACCTTAATAATGGTTGGAGGTTGAGTTTTCCGGCGTTGTGCCGCCGGTTTGACGGTGGTTGTGGTGGCTGAGTTTTCTCAGGACCAACCTGCTCTGATACCATATTGTAAAAGGTTTTCAGTATATCGATCTTGAATAAATTACATAAGGAATGAGGAGTATTTATACAAGAAAAAATAGCTAAGCATGACTCAGTTATGACTCACTAAACCTAATCACAATTAATTCTAATTAATTACAATTAATCCTAGTTAATAGGAAATAAAAAACAATCAATCCTAATTAATCTTAATTATTCCTAATTAATAGGGAATAAAACGGAAAATATTTGAATTTGAATTCTGATTTTCTACACTTGTCAGTAATGAGTGCCTAGTCTCATTCTGTATTCAACATTTGACCTCACCTAGTGGGAAAAAGGCCTTTGTTGTTGTTGCTGTATTTTGGAATACATAAATTTTTAATTTCCTTGGTTTAAGTAAAAACCTGACCAAGGAAGAGTCTTGGAGCAGCTGGAAGGTTGCTTCTTGTCATCGGAAAATCATGGGTTCAAGTATGAGAAATGGTCTCTTTACAAAAATGTAAGGATAAGGTTCCGTATAATCAACCTTCACCCCTATCCTTGTAAAGTTAGGGAGCCCTGTGTATCGAGATTTGCCTTTTAAATAAGAACCTGATCTTTTGAGTCCTCCTTTGGCGGTTGGTGCACATATTTTTGACTTTACAGAAAATTTAATGCATCCCTGTGATTTTTCTCTTGCAGTTTAATTTTGCCCCTCTTTCTGAATTTTAACCACTTCCCCCCCTCTGTGTAGCAACATACTCTTCAGGGAGTTTGCTTTGATTTCTATGTGGAGAGTACCGGCAATGCCAATAGGTGCCCACACTGCACTTGGTTTTCTTGCTGAACCATTGAAACAGCTTGCAGATACTCTTGAGACCTCTGAGGAGGATTATAATGTTTTTGAGGATCTGAGGGAGTTCCAAGACTGGGTATGCTGAATTACACTTGCCCAATTTAGTTATTAAACCTCAGTCACATCATTTATGGCTTGATGATAGCAATTAATATTTATATTCACTTTGCATTTAACTAGCGTGAGTATTACTCCTGTGATGCAACCTACCGCAATTGGCTCAAAATTGAATTAGAGAATGCAGAAGTTCCTGTCTCTGAACTGTCACTGGAGGAAAAGGAAAGGGCCATTTCTATGGCCAAGGAAACAGTGAATGCATCTCTTTCACTGCTAGAAAGTGAGTTTAGTTGACAACCTTGTGCAAAATCATGCTGTGAGGAAAATGTTAAAAATTTTTAGCAATGCATTAGTCGTGGAACTTTTGTTTCTGTGTTTTCCAAAATGAGATAGTACATTGACTTCTTAGCTATTGACATATTGATGATTCTCCTTTATGTAGGAAAAGAAACATCTTGGTTGGCTTCTATTGATCATATATATGAATCAGCTGAAACCGTTTTCCTCGAACTTCATGCAACTGCAATGCTCTGCCTGCCATCGGGAGAGTGTTTGTGTCCAGATGCTACTGTATGCACTACACTGATGAGTGCCCTCTACTCCTCAGCTGGTGATGAGGTTGTCTTAAATCGACAACTGATGGTATGTATGTTCAACCATTGAAAGCTTAAGCATGCAAATATGCTGGTGTTTACTTAAACTATACATTCATTTTGAATTGTTGTAGGATGTGTACTTCAGTGCAGTTTATCCATATGAATCTTATGCTTATGTCACATGAATTCCTAATTATGTTATTAAATGATTTGGGAGCTATTTCTGAATTCTAGTCGTACATTTATGGCTAAATTAATCTACAGGTCCTTGTACTTTAGTGGAATTTTTAATAGGTCCCTATATAATTTCAAAATCTTTTTCAATGGGGTTCTCGATTCCAGTTTATTGTTTGGTCCTGAATTTTCTTTTGAAACTATAGGGATCTACTTGTAGTTTTTAAACTAGAGGGACCTATTTAAAATTTCCCGAGAAGTACAAGAACTTACAGACTAATTTAATCTAATTTTTTTTTCATGGAGTGTAAAATCCATTGAAACTGGGAATTCAGAAGTCAGGTCCTGGTCTATTTTTCTGGAGTTTAATAGAGTTATGTCTTATAAATGTGATAATCATCAATTCAACTGTTGAATATACTTGATAACTATGTTGATTCTGCGTGCCCTTTTGAAAATGGACATTAGTATGATTTTATCAAATTGTTAATCTTTATTATACTTGATGAGCATATTGTTTGTCAAAAGATATAATAATGGATCACAAATTGATTTTGGATTAATACGAAATTTTGGTAACCCAAAAGTCAGTCGAAGTCGTTAATTATACCTCTTTGGGTCCAGTCAGTTCTAGATGCATTTGGGGTCTATATTAGTAATCTTCTATGTAATTTTTAACAGAATTCAGAACAGTTTCAGTAGGATATTCAGATAACACATTTTGGTGTTTCTCAACTTAGGATTAGAATTCTGATAATATCAGATTTCTATCCCAGGTGGTGGACTCCTCCCACACAAACCTTTTTATCCCAAATGCCTACACAACTATTTCCATAATTTCCCTTTCCCATCTAAGCCTAACAAATTACTGGGCCACATCATTCGTCTATCTTAATTTCACTGCATATTTTAAACAAGGAAACTCCCTTAAAAAAAACCATATGCGGAACCCCAGAGAGTTGATAAACACAACTGTATCCCTAAACATATATATGGTTCAAAATATGACCTTGAATATGTATGTTTTGTCTTCAACCAGCTACACCAGAGAGCAGCATAAACCTCACACTGCTACAAACTTACTTTAGATGGGTATATTATATTAATGATTTCTTTTTATTTCTTTAGTCCTTTTGCTTATTTTTCTGCATCTTCTAATGAACTCCTTATTCCTTTTTTGAAAAAATGAAATGGGGGAAATTATGAAAAATTTGGGATAGGATTTTCTGTAAAATTAAAAGAATGGATGTTTTGTTGATTTAAGAGGAGATTTTTTTTACCAAAGAGCAAATAATTCAATTCAAAGATTTGCTTAGATCAGAAATTAAATTGGGCCAACGTGTGATAACTGATAATAATTGTTATATAGACAGGCTTTGCAAATCTTACTTTCGATGTGTTATTCTCTAACGTAATTCATTGTTATCTTATACTTTGCTTACAATCTAATAATTTGCAGGTGAACGTCTCTATATCTTCTATTGACAAGTATTGCATTGACGTTGTTCTTCGTTGCTTGGCAATAGCTGGTGATGGACTTGGGCCACATGATCAGAATGATGGTGGTATTCTTGGCACCATTATGGCTGCTGGTTTTAAAGGTAGCAATATTACTAAATGAATGAATTGTATGCATTGAGTCAAATTAATTAGCTTAGATAAAGATGGGTGGGATGTCAATATAGCAATATGAACTTCTATAAAGTTTTTTCACAGGGATATGCTTCCTTTAGGTCTTTGCTTTCCTTGGACCAAATTTTGGTTACTAGCTTTAGATCTGTAGTGGCTTTGGCAGAATTTAAAGAGGCTAAATTTTTATGACAATTTGCAATCTATTTACTATTTGGTTTGTTTGGTTGGAGTATAACACATTTTTAAGGTAGTTTCTATGACTCAGCAGTCTTTTAAGGGAGTTCCCCCTAATAGATATGCTAAGAGAAAAGTGATTAAGTTAGAGGAGTCCTCAGTTGAAATCTGACGGTGTTTTTGAAGCAATTTGTTTTCTTCATCTTTAGTGCATCTTGATTATGGGATGTAAAGTCGTTCTTTTGATGTTTTGTTGTGGAGTCCTTATCTTAAAGTTTAGTTGGTGCTTTGCATTCTCTCTGTCTCTGTCTCTCTCTGTTTTTAAAAAAATACCTGTTATTGTCTTATAGAGCGCCTCTGTATTGCATCTGAACTTGTGCGGTGGTAATAAAAATTTGCTATTCATCATTCACCCTCTCCTAGAATTAGATGTTGAAGTTGTTAAAAATGTAAAACCATTCCTTGACCTCTCTGCTTATGTTTTTGGAAAGACTCAAACCTTAACATGGTATTAGAACCCTCTTGACTAAATGATCAGGAGCTTAATTGTTATCACATTCATTCTTCATTACCAAGTTATATCTCAGAGGAAGGTATGGTGGGCCTGTGCTTTCTTCATGTTTCAAACCTGAAAGACTGTTGCATGAAGGGACTTGTAAGAAATATAAACTCCTTATTGGGTTTACACCTAATAACTTAAGTTTTTGGGATGAGTTGGTCTTTGAGAGAAATTTTAAGTGTTTTCTGATTTGAAATTTATTGGTGCAAGATGACTGTTATATTTGTTTCCTCCATAGAAGGATATATCATACAATTTTGAGCTGGAGTTACTATGAGAGACCTGTATGACAAATGAGTAGAAGATCCAGTGAGTAAGTTTATTTCCTATTACAGGGGAGCTTCCTCGGTTTCAAGCTGGAGTTACAATGGAAATATCCCGATTGGATGCTTGGTATTCTGATAAAGATGGCACCTTAGAGTGCCCGGCAACATACATTGTGAAAGGCCTCTGTCGTAGATGCTGTCTCCCAGAAGTCATTCTTCGTTGCATGCAAGTATGTCAACAAATCACATTGACTTATATTTAACTTTTTCAAGAAAATTACTAAAAACTTCTTGATAATTTTTTTCTATTTAAGAACATTTATTTACTCAGGAGTATTTAATTAATCAAGTGGTCACTCATTAACCACTCTTTGGATATTGTTAATTAGTTGAGTAATTAATTGTTTCTAAACCGAATGTTTATGAAGAAATTCAAAAATAAGAAAAAATCCCCCCTTTTTGGGAATGTTAACAGATTTATAATGTGCAATTTTTGTCTCATCTACAGGTTTCTGTTTCTCTCATGGGATCAGGAGTCCTGCCTGATTGCCACGATACTTTGATTGAACTAGTTGGCAGTCGTGAAACTCACTTTCTTCACTTGTTTAGTCAACAGCAATTACAGGCAAGTGAATAACTTCTTGTTCCTCCCAAAAAATTAGAGTTTCCTACCTTTAAACTTCAACCTTTGTGTATTAGCCTCTTTATGCCTTTTTGGGGTAGTCATGATTCCTTGCAGTATTCTTTTCATTATTGGCTACACTGTTCTCACCAACACTGCAGACAAAAACAGAGCCCAACACCCAGTAACCGAGTGAGGCAGACTGGATACCCCTGCCTTTTTTAAATGTTACTGAGGCACCCTGTTTCTTCATTTTCATTTATTATGTTTGTTGACCGCCAACTCCAACTAGTTTAGAATAAAGATGATGTTGATGTTAATATTACGGAGACATTCATTGATTTTCATTATTGGAGCAAAACAATTTATTTAGGAATAACGACACCACAACACCTAGTTATCCATATATCTCAATTTATGTATGCGGTGATTGAGCCACTAGGTTTTATGTACACGAAAAATATTGGAAAGGGTGTGTATGTTAGTTGGCGAAATATAACTTTACATTGTGCGACATTGAAACTTGAAGAACGCTTATTTTGTCAATTTGGGGCCTGACCAGATGTTTACCTTTTTCATGTGTAGGAGTTTTTATTGTTCGAGAGGGAATACTCTATCTGCAAAATGAAGCTAACGGAAGAATGATTATTGCCCCTTGAGCAGAACTTGATCTGGAGCTTCTTCTGGTGCTACAGTTTTGAAAGGATGAAATACCTTAAAAACGCTTGCTTTTTTTTTTTTTTTTATGTGGTAATTATCTTGCTTTTAGTGGGAAAAAGGACTGAGGATAAAAGTGCCTTGTGCTTATTGCTCAAAGCATGTCTTCTGAAATTTTTCTGCATCTTGTTCTTTGGAAAAAGGAAATCCCTTTTTTGTATATAATTATGTTATTTAAATCAGATTTTAATTTTTTGTCAATATGGTACATCCCTTTCCTCGTCTGATTGCTTTTCTCCTTCCCTTGCATATTGCCGTATACAGCTATACATTGGGCAACCCTATCATTTATTATTTTCAGCTTATACACTTAAAAATCTGGGTAATATAAGTCTCTTGCAGATGAGAAATTTTTCCAGCAGACACAATAAAGTTGCGCGGACCATTGACATTTTTTTTCTCTTTCCTTGTATTGTAAGACCCACGTGTCGTCTCGGTTAGCATGAGATTTATATTACCCTAAAAGTATAGATTTTTGTTCAGTGTTGATCCATATTCGGAAAAGGTTATCATTCAATTAGGTTACAGGTGTGCAAAATAATCAAAAAACTGAACCGAACTATGAATCGAACCGTCATTAAAATAATCGGTTTTTAAAAATCAATTCATGAACCGAATCGGTTTTTAAAGAACCAGTTCATGAACCGAATCGATTTTTGGAACCAGTTAAAAAATCAAACCATTTCGAACCGAACCGAGCCGTTTTCAAATCGAACTAAATTGATTTTTATAACTTTTTTTTTAAAATTTTTAATTTTTTTTTCTTTTCAAAAGAGGGTCGACCCAAACTGGTTCTGAACCAGTTTCGAACCGAACCGATCTGTTTTCAATCGAACCGAACCACTTCTGAATCGAACCGAATCATTTCAAACCGAATCGAATCATTTCGAACCGAAACTAATTTGGTTCGGTTTTTGAAAAAAATCCGGTTCGGTTCGACTTATGCACATTTCTATCATCAATGTTGCTCGGTTATCGAAATGTGCATTGATTTTAGAGAAAATTTTATAAATGTCCTCAACATTTTTTTAGAATAAAAAATATGCCTAATTTTTTTTAAAAAAATAATACCTGTAACGTTCATAACATTTATATTCATCTGTTAACTTTAAAAACACTATTAAATTTTATTTTATCGCGAATGTATTGGTGATGATAGTTAAAATCTCAATTTATTATTTCCAAAAAAAAAAATCTCAATTTATTATTATGATTTTATATTTTTATAATTTTTTTTATCAAAACGATTTTATTAATATTCTAAATGCTTTTAGGTTTTTACAATTTTTTTTACGATATGATTTTTACTTTTACGATTTTTTATCCCCTTTAATTTTATATAAAATTTTGATTTTAACTACCTTGGTATTAGCCTTCAGTTGTTTGTCAGCAAGAATTCAAAATTAAATACTTAAAGGTAGAGGCGTAAATATGAGAAGTTTATTAAACGTTCAAAGCTGAATAATTAGCAAGAAATATAGTTCTAAAAGAGATTGACAATAGCAAGAAACAAAGGAGAGGAAGAGAAATTATGGACATGCTCGGTGATAAAAGATTATGAGAGTAAGAAACGAAGTCCAAAAAAAGCAAAATTGTAATTGAAAAACTAAGGTAGAAGGCAAACTATATTATTTTGTGTTTTTAGACAATTGGAGGGAAAAATAATAACAATGTGATATAATTTAACAATGTTATTTGAGGTTAATAGAGGAGTATGAGTATTTTAAACATTGAGGTGTTATTAATTAAAAAAATTATGCACATTTTTAATTCTAAAGGAAACTCAGGACATTTATAAAGTTTTCCGTTAATTTTATCTGAAATAAACATTTTAAATGAATTGTTTGGATATTTGCAATACTGAATTTAGCATAGCAATTTCATTTCAAATGTATAAAATTTTCCAGCCCAAAGGCCTTCAGCCAAGTCTGGTTTTATTTTTTATTGGGTGGCCCACCGGGTCACCTTAGAAGTGTATTAATAAGCTTAAAGTTAGCTAATCTAATTAATCGCACTATAGTGTACTATAAAAAATAAAAAATTAATCGCACTACATGCATTGGAAGAAGGTGAATGAGTAGATTTTTCCGTTTGTATCATTCACAAGACAAGGGAATGAAATTTCTCTGCTAATTGGCTTGCTAGTTATATCGTGGAGCTTCCTTCTAGAGTTAGACTACATGTTTGGGGTAGCAAAATTGTAATTAATGCATATTATATTACACCCACTAATATGCTTTTGCATCCATCTTCTTGGCAACTTCTTTGTAAATATTAGGGGTGTTCATCAACCGATCCAAATCGATTCAAACCGCGGTGACCGAACCGAAAAATCGTTAACCGAATAAATTGAAAATCGAAAAATTAAAAACCGAAAAAAACCCGCAAATTTTAATTGGATTGGATCGGTTTTTGGATTGGTAGATGAAAACTGATCCAATCCAAACCGATCCAATATATTAATTTTCCTCAACCTACTTGGGTCTTTCCTCAATTATAGCCCAAAAATTTCTAAACCCAAGACCCATTAACCCATCAACTAAACCCAAGAAAAAACCTAGTCACATCTCATCAACAAAATTTCATCTATGTAGAGCTTCATATCTCATTGTCCAAAAAAAAACAATATTATCGTTTATTAATGCTTTTGTATTTAAGAAAAAAATAAAATTACAAAGTCCATATATACAAAAGATGTTATTTGCACAATAATCATGAAACAAACTTTAGAATTTTCAAAAAACCGAAAACCGATCCAATCCAAACCGAAAAAAATTGGATTGAATCAGATTTGAAAAAAAATCCAAATCGAATGGATGATTACATGATCAAACCGAAGGGATTAGATCAGATGATTTTTGCTTCTGAAACCGATCCAATCCAGACCGCGAACACCCCTAGTAAATATTATTCGATGAACAATTTTAGAGTGGTTGTAGTATTACTACAAGACCACTCAACATGTTCGATGCTCTACATTTTTTAAAGTTGATGTGGGAATCTGCCATACTATGTAATTTTTGGAAACAGTGACCATTTTGTCACATTTGACAAAAAAAATTACCAAACTGTCACGCCAACAGTAAATTTTTTCAAAATGCCACGCGGCATATTTCGCTCCACTGTGCAGCGAAATATGTTTGCATATAATTCGGTACACAGTGTAGCGAAATATGTCATGTCAGGCTGCACAGTCAGCAAAAATGACACGTGTCAAGCGGGCATAACCCAAGCAGAATTTGAAGGAAATCTTAGATTTATGCGGAAGCGGTTTAGGACCTAGTACATTGGTATGCTTACCGAATCATCATTGTTTCACAATTACCTCTCGGTGCGCAGGTCTCGTGTAGAATCTTCCTTTGTAGGATTCCTCTTCACGAACAGCTCACCTCAGCGCCGCAGCACGAACAACCTTCTTGAAGCTGGACTGTGGCAGATCTTCCAAACTATCTCTCGAGGAGGAAGGGGAAGTGTGTGGGCACTGATTAGATTCAGAGCTTGCCTCTTTCTCATAAAAAAGACCTCGGAGGCTGATGACTTAAGAGGTACTATTTATATGGGTTCCAAGAAACCCTAGCTCATTGGGCTCTAGGTTCCTTGGGCTCTTCTCATACTAATAACCCATTTGGGCTTTAGTAAAAGAGCAAACCCAACAATCTCCCACTTGCTCTTTTGGATACAAACTTGAGTCGTAAAACCCAAGATCATGTAACCCATAAGTCATCATCTATCCGAAAAATACCCCATCCCTTGTCTCAAGCTAGCTTGGGGATCTACCATCTGTTATTAATCAAGCTCCTGATAATCAACGAATGATTATCTAATTCGGTGCTACTCCACTAAAAGCCCGAACTTGAACTCCAAGATTAACAACACTTATAACATGAATATGCATCGCCCCTTTGTAGAATGTCTATAATTGATTGACAAGTTTTCTGTAACTCAATCAATTATTTATTCCATTGACTATGATAGTTTCTCTAATGGATTACATGCACTGGCCAGTGTCTTTAATATCCAAGTACCGAAACATATCAAGGGGACATATCCTACAAATTCCATGTTGTTTATCTCATAAATACCGATAATCAAATAATCTCACTCCCAAAATACCGAGTTATTGGCCGTCAATAGATCGAACCTCACCCGTTGGTAAATCAAAGAATGAAAACTATTTGATTACCTATTTATAATAAACTCAGGATTAAGAGCAATTACATAACTATAGTTAACTAGAGATTTGATACCTTATGACAGAAAAACAATCTTAATCAAATCTCTCTTTGATCCTTTCAATGTGAATGTTAATTCACACCAATATTTTACAATGATTCGGACAAAATCATTTCATAAAATATTGCAGCCTGAATAAAGTGCCCAACTTTATTTAACGGCTGTGACTCCATTCATCAATTGTGAGATCCTACGATCATGTCCTCCATGAACGTATCCATATGATCATATACTCCACAATTTGATCCGGACCTTTATGTTTGTAAATAGTGCGCAAAATAAATAAATAAAACCTTATTTATGAAATTCAGAAAATTATTTTATTGTTTCATCGTCTTACTCCAAGAGCACAATGAAACCAATAACTCCCACTTGCTTAATGCAAGTCTGGGATCCTCCTAAGACCCAAAGAAGTAACATGCCTCTCGAACACAAGTTCAGGCAAACTCTCAGTAACTGGGTCTGCAAGATCCACCTCTAATGCTATCTGAGTTTAGTGAAAAACTCATAGCTCGAGGTTGATTTTCTTGAGTCAATATCCACTTGAAATAACTGAATTTTTGAAAACTCAGCTTTTCAAGACTCCCACTAGAATATACCAGCATATAATCTCTCGTTCTCCAAAGATACTTGAGTACATGCTTACCAATAATCTAGTATTCCTCTAGGTTCAAAATGGTACTATCTCACTACTCCCACTACGTGACAGATGTCTGGTTTAACGCCCAACATGATATGCGTGAGTCTACCTTTGCCAAAGCATAAGATATCTTGCTCATGCATTCTTCCTTCTTAGAAGTCTTTGGTCACTCCTTAGGAAGATGAATTCCACATCTGAGAATTATAATTCTTCTCTTAGAATTCTCATGTTGAATTTTGGGTTTTGTCAATGTAAGTAGCCTGAGGTGATGCCAACAACTTATTCTTCCGGCCTCATAAGAG